TGGAGGAGTTTGTGGTTGAAAGCACAGTGGGTCGCCGAGCAGCAAACAAAAACGAGTGCAAACGAATGTTCTTTTGTACATTGGATGTTGTACTGTGAGAGCTGCGTTCACGTTTCAACGAAAGAAACAGCCAACTGATAGAGGCTTTGTGTGCCATGGACGCGGACAGCCCTTTTTTTCTGGATGTCTACAAAATCAAGCCACTGTTGCAATTAACAAAAACCGAAGTCTCTGAATCAGAGTTCACAGTTGCGCGTAATTTCTTCCTGAAAGAAAAATCAAATAAAGCCAGCGACAAAAAGTGGATCCAACACACTTTGGAAAAATACCGCGATGTTCTGTCGACAATGCCAACTGTACTTTGGCACTGAAGCTATCACTGACATTTGGGGCATCAACCGCAGTGTGCGAAAATTCCTTTTCCACACTGAAACGAGTTTTCAGTGAACACAGACGCAGCATGTTACACCAGCGAAAAGCTAATCTTGTTCAAATCTCATTTGAGAAGGACCTGACTACAAAGTTCCAGAAGGGAGGAGAATGGCATGAAAAGCTACTCAGAAGGTTCAGCACGGAATCTAGGAGGCTACAACTATATTAATGAGATGATAGGTGTTATTTACTGCTGTGGTCACCGTCACCTTCTTATGCGTTGTAGCCAATCGTATGCCGAACATTTTTAACTGATACACGGCAGCAGTGTCACATTTACCAAAAGTTTATGAAGTTAAGGTATAGAAATAAATAAGCAACTGTTTTTATTATTGTTGTTGTTGTTTTTTTATGCGCCTTTTGTTCAGCATACGATCTTTATTTTTGGCCCGTGACTGGTGCTGTCGGGTTTGTCTCCTCGTCTTCGGCACTGTCCATGGTCCTGGGTTGCTCTTTGATCTCCCTACTGTGACTGTCACTTCCACACCTGTTCCATAGCCTATTTGAACTGTTCGACGTTGTCCTGACTGGACTGTTCATTAGTCAAATGAAATTGGACGCTGTCATCTCGTCTGCCGCACTAGAGTTGTCGGTAACGCCTTTTAAATTGTTGTTTGACGAATAAAGCTTGATTTTCCACAACGACGCAACATCTTGCTTTTTTGACTTCTTTCCATTTCGTGTTTAGAGAGTTACATTTAAGTAACGAATATCAGTTTACACCTTAACTGGCTCAAATAATACCCATTAAGAAGACCCGCCTTGATGTCGCTTTTTATTTTGCACTGCGTGAAATCATAATTCGCCGGAGATTAGATAAATGACCCATATCTTGCGTTTATTGGATAAAAACAATAAAAGTTAGCAGCTAAACAGTTTAGACTTCTGCATTTAGTCAATATTTTAGACAGAAATATAAGATAATTAATAAATAAATAACAAGAGGGACCAGATTAGTCTAGCGCCCCCCTAAGGGTTTAAAATGCCCACCCAGATATGCCATCCTGGCGCCGGGCCTGTGACTAGTCATAATATATTTGCAGATATCTCCAATCTGACTTTGTACTAGTACAATTGCAATTGCAGATATCTCTAATTGTCATTCTGACTAGTCGAATTATAATTATGACTAGTCAAAATATAATTAGAGATATCTCTAAATATATTTATGGATAGTCAGAACAAAGGTTTAAATGCTAAAACGGCTTGCCATACGCGCTTGTCTATCATAGTCCGCCCTCTGTAGTAACAGCTCACGGTCAGCTCACGTCATGTGTGATTTTGCGGCCGCCAATACATCATTATATGAAGACAGAATGATATTTTAGGGTGAATTGTACCTTATAAATACAGTATGTGACTCTTTCAACACCATTAGGAGGTGTCACTGTGCAAAGTATGTAAATCACTGTGAAGACTTTAAAACTTCGGCTATGTGTGACCCAGTATGCGTGTCAAAAAGTGGACGAGTCTAAAGTAATGACTGTAAAAGCCAAATGTTGCCAGACGTCTGATTTTGAGAGGATGGGTCATCCTCTATTTCAGCTCCACTCATCTTGGTCTGCTAACATTACTGCTGCTGCAATCTGAACTCACGTGCGACAGCAGGTGGAACGTAGCTCACGTGCAAACAGCTCAACTAATAAGAGAAAACGGACGTCATATCGTAATCAAATCGGCATAACGCCACGATGCATATCGAGACATTTTTGCATCGCAATAAATTGTACAACGATAAATCGTTACACCCCAAATATATATATATATATATATATATATATAAAGGGCTGCCAAATGATTAAAAAAATTAACGTAATCACTTTTTTTTGTAATTAATCATGATTAATCACTTAATGCTGTGTTTATTACAGAAATAAAAGGACAGGCATTAAATGCCATTTGGATTTCAAAATAATCAAAGTCAATAACAAACAAAAATGATTTCCATGTTGGATTCTGAGTGGACATGCGCGTAATACAGCAGGCCCGGTGAGCGAGGGAGGGATCCCTTCAGTTTCATCAACACGCATGATGGCGTTCATCAAATTTGCTTAAACTACACGCTCTAAAGTATGGCTGTATTTTACAAGCAAGGATTCTGACACTGCAACGTGAAACTTATGAAATGTGAGCGCTCATGGACGCAGATTAGAGAATAGGGCTTTCTTTGACATCTTGCAACTTCATCTGCTATTTTTACTGAGTACATTTACATGGACACCAATACTCCGCTTTTATGATTAAGATAATACTGATTAAGGGTCGATCATGTAAACATTGAATTTTTTTATTTTTGATATATATTTTTTAATACCTTAAATGACCATGCGAGTGCCGCAATGCAGAGGTTTTTCTTTCCATTCGCCATGCGGTATCAAATTCCATTAATACATCCTGAATGAAAACATGCTGAATGAAAGTGAACTGCAGTTTAAGTCTAAAGATTAAAGATGAAACACCCGAACTTGCATGAAACTCTGGAGAAAATGCAGGAAAGCTTAACTGGTGCTCTAGGCAAACAGCAATCACGCCGCCCTCAGGTCGAAAGTGAAAAAGAGTGACCTTTTTGCTTATGAAAGCGAGGACCGTGAGGGAGAGTTGCAAATGAAAGAATCAAATTGCCCAAGTATCAGGGAACATCTTAATACACTTAAAATGTGTTTCTCTCCTTCCTTCCTCTGTCCCTACCAGGAGCAAGTTGTAGCCACCTTGTAATGTATTTTTCCAGCTCTATCAGTGGTGCTGTTGGTATGGACATTTGTCCTCACTGCATCTGTGATTACACAATATTCAGACAGTTTGTTTTGAACAAGTACAAATGTTAAAGAAACAAAAGTAACATGCTTCCCCTCACAACAGTACAACCTAAATGAGACTAAAAACTATATTATATATTGATTTTATTTTATTCTCTGGTTAATGATTTAAAGAAATACACAGATGAAACGGCCCCTAGTTGTATTGAAATGTATATTTAAAACTAACTTACTGACTACGACAGTCCTAAGGGGGAGTGCACGATAGGCCACTTTTGGGTTTGCCCCGCTGTAGTTAATTTGTTTAGTCAAGGAGTTAGCCAAAAGCTTTCCCGGGATACACTGCTTAGTGGAAAACACCAATGATTCCAAAGTAGGCGACCTACGCAGCAAAATAAATTAAATAAACTTCAAATACTTTGAAATGCGCAAGAGCTTGAACCTCCCAGTTTCCTCGTTTGTCTGGGCTGCTCCTTTAGTTGATTTTCAAGCTTTTCTAAATCAAATAAATTGGACAAAGGAAGGTGGAATGTGTTTACACCGTGGACATCACGTTTGCAGCAGAGTGCTGTAGTGTCTTTGCTGATTTGTGAGAATCAGGCCCAGTTGCTGCTTTATGACGTCGCATGATATTAAAACTTCAGTCAGTCATGCTGAAAAAGAGCAGTAATGAATTAGTATAAATCTGTAGCCTGTAGCTTATTCTCTTACAACTTGTGTGAATACAACAGTGGGCATGACACTGCTGATGTTCTCTAGCTGCATTAAGGTGAATGTGTTTGTTCAGTGAAAGCAGTGAGGCAATCGAGATGTCACATTTATTTTTCAAAGTTAAAATCTAATAATACAAAAATTTATTAAACTACAGATTTTCTATTGACGTCTGCATAAAAGAGGACATTTTATTATCTGGAAAACATTTGAGTTTGAAAAGCAATTTGTTATTTTACTACTGTAATATCATACATGTTGTTGGTGATGGGGTGGTACAAGAGAGTCTCTCTTGCCTAAAGAAAAGCAATATATCAGGATTTTGTGCCTGAGGTGGGAAAATAGCTGTTTTGGAGGGTAAAAATATCTTTCAAGTTGTAGTTTTTTTATTATAAGTTTGTCATAATTAGAATTTTTAAAATTTGCAATGTGGAAATGGCACCCGCTTCATAGAATGACTCACTAAACACTGTAATCTAACATTGTGTAAAAGGATTGATGATGATAGCCAATAATACTGATGGGTCGTTCATTTTGAACAAATCTTCAATATGACTCGGGAACTATGAGTCCTCTCAGCGAGTGATTTGTTCATCCGCGTGTGCGCACATTTGTGCAGGTATTGTTAATTTCAAGTCTACATCACATTGGCAGAAGCCAATCATACACGTTTAGAGCCGGAAAAAGAATTGAACCGCTCACCTCTCGAGTCCTCTAGCGGGTCTGAGTCACTCGTTCCTCACGGGTCAATCATACACGTTTAGAGTCGGAAAAAGAAATGAACCGTTCATCTCTCGAGTCCTCGGGTTTGAGTCATTCTGTCACGTGATGAACGAATGATCATGGCTCCTATCGGCTCAGACTGTGCATTGATTAAGATTATATGTGTCTGTCAGTGTAACGTGAATGAACCCCTGACATTTGAAGACATGAAGAGGTGAGCTGAGCAAAGAGACAACAATACCTTCATAGACAAAAGAGCAGGTCAACATTGAGTTATTATTTATCCTTCTTATAGTATTCTAGTTATGACTTATTTGTCATGTGATCAACCTTTTGGGCTAGTTGTAGATGTGTTTAAAAGCAATTCGTAACATTTTAATATTTTGGCAAATTGCACCAAATGAACGAAATGACCCAAAAAAAGATTCGTTTATCTCCATGAACAAGACTCAAAGATCCGAGTCAGTAAAATGATCCGAACTTCCCATCACTAGCCAATAACAATAAACCATTTCAGCAGTTTGAGAAGTAATTAGTAATGTAAAGTCTGAAAAGCTCAGGTATCTTGAAAATATATCGCCAGTTCACAGCTTGTAACGGACCCAACTATAACATGCCTATACACGTTCATAAGAGTGTGCCATTGGCACATTTTGGGCCCTATTTTAATGATCCAAGCGTAAAGCCCAAGGCACAAACGCATTAAGGGCGAGTCTGAATCCACTTTTGCTATTTTAAGGACAGGATAACACGCTCTGCGCGGTGGTGCATGGTCTGAAAGGGTTGTGCTTATTCTCTTAATGAGTTAGAGGTGTGTTTTGGCCGTAACTTTTATTAAACCAATCAGTCTCATTATCCATTCCCTTTAAGAGCGAAATGTGCGCATAACAGATTCATTTTTTACATGGCGGGTTGCAGGAGGTCTGAACGCTTCAGTGGCAAGGTTAAAGCGCACGAGCAGATCATCTATGGAACAAATCAGAATCCACCAAAGCTCCCCGAGGTGAAAAAGGCATGGGAGGAAGACAGTGGCGACTGTGTCCTCGTCTTCTGATATCACAAGAACGGCTGTACAATGCTGAAAAAGGTACAATGATGTCAGGAGATGGGGAAACACAAAGCTCCCTTGGTCACCTGCTGTTTTTTATTAGCAGCGGGGAGGACCCCCTACAGCCACTTTAGACCTTCCGCCAGCGGAGGACATCGCTGCCTCTACTCTCAGTGCTGACAGCATTGAGTGGTTTGGTAATTTAGAGGTGGTCGTCCAAGGTAATGCATTGTTAATTAAAATAATTAAAAGTAAAAACAATTTGTTCAATGTTCTTATGAATAAATTGTTTACATTTTTTATTTATTCAGCAACAATCATACATTTCATGCAGCTCCGCTGGTTGAAGGTTCGGCCGCCGGGCCCAGTAGGCAGGAGCAAGAGGTAGTTCTGCAGGGAGAAGAGACCATGGAACCACCAAGGTTGAGAGGAGAGGCAAGACCCAGAGCTCGACGCAGAAACGTCGACCAGGAGGACCACCCATTCCTGGCCCTCCAGCAGGCCGGCTTCAATATGCTGGAACGGCAACAGGGTAGGAACCACCAGAACTTGGAGATGTTGCTGCTGCCGCTCGGACGCTTCGCCGATAGTGTGGTGAGTCTAGCTGAAGCTGTTCAGCATGTAATACCTTTTACAACACCTCCTTCATCCTGCGGACCTGTTCTCTCTACCAGATCAGCCACTCTACAGTTCTGCTGTTCCTGGACCCTTGCATGCTTGCCACACCGTGGAGCTTCGCGACTGCGAACGCGAGGAGGAAGGTCAAACATTTAAGTTTATAATGTAAAAAATAACCACACACACACACACACAAATGTTCGTGGCATCACTGCAATCTAAATAAAATAAATGAACAATAAACTGAGGTCTACTAATTTGCAAAAAAATGCACTAAATTGCTTTGCTTGTACAGCAGGAAAAAGGTCCTAACATTTGTACATTTCCAGAGCAAAAGCGTTTCAGCACCTAGCACAGCGCTGTGTGTTTTAATAAAGATATTTCAATAAAATGGTTGCCATCATATCCAGAGGTTAAAGGTCAAATGCAAAATTTCTACAGTTTAAAAGTAAAACAATTGAGCTTATAAGTCTACAGGTGAGGCGGCTCTTCTGCCAGCTGATCTCTCCTGGCCTGTGCTGCTGCTAATTGGCATCGCCACATGCAGTTCAGCTTCACGCCATCTAAAATCCTGTAATCTAATGTTGAAAAGACCCACTCTCAAATAAATGTAGTGCAGCAGTTACTTTTACAGCAACGGGGAGTGCATATGGGCAGGATGCATTCGTTTCTAAGTCATCTGCCAGAAGATGACAAAGTTCGGTTACTGCCTGGCAAGATAACCGTAGCCTCTGGTGACACTCCACCTCAGACAGCAACAAATATGTGGACCTTGGTCGGTGGACCCTCGGCCTCCTCCGTCTCCCAATTCTCTGGCCCATAAGGTACTCCATTTGGCTAAACAAAATAAATGCATAACTACATTACTGATGAAATACGTTATTGATCAAATAGGTACACTGACAAACTGAGGAGATCAATAAGAGATATTTTGCCCATTTTATATTTATGTACACAATAGGCTAATAATCTTTTATTATTACATATTCATTTTTTATTTTCATATTTAAACATAACTCGTGCTGCACATCATGTGTGTGAAATAAGCAACATGTCTTTGTGCATTGGACCTGCCTATCACTAACGCGTTTTCTAAACAATCCGATATAACCTGCGCTGGACTTTACACCAACTTTCAGTCGATCTATGGCGTGGTCTAATGTAATTGTCTCAAAATAGCAACGCACCAGGGGTCTGTTCTTCGTACCTCGCTTAAATGATCTAAGATGATTTGGCAGATCCTGGATCTTTTAATCTTGATAACTGATCTCTCGCTAATTTGGTTCTTCAAACAAGTTCGCGAATCAGATTAGAATGTCTGGATGAACTGATCTGAGATCTGCGTGTGTTGTGAAGGACAGATCTATCGATCCTCGAAATCATGATCAGCAATGCAACGATTGGCTGACGATACAGCAGCGTAATGACATCATCTGATTAATATTCAATTATCCATGTGAGCAAAATTACATCAAATTAGCAGTAAACGGTTTGTTAAATATGACATGCAATAACCTTCCACATTTATTGTGAGGTGCAGGCTTTACACTTTCATGTGTCAAGACAAGAGTATTCATCATGTATTTCAATGCAAATCAGTGTATTTAGTTCTACATTTAGAGAAGATTTTCTTTATTATTGTAGCCGTTTTTTAATCGGTGTACAGAATAACTGGTTGTTTACAAAAGTGTTTTCATATTGGTAAAGGCGTCTGCAACTATTGTGAAGCATCAAATCACTGACATATTAACTGTCAAAACATGTTTATGACTGCTGAAATGTATTATTGCTTTAAAAAAGTCACATATTGTGCATTTCTATTATACACAATTTGTACTAAAGCGATCTAAAAAGTTCATATCAATAAGCTTTCTCTTTGCACCACCAGGTGGCAGGCTTTGTAGCCTACTTTTATTTCGAGGGTGCAGATTGCATACGTTTTATTAAAATGTATAACTTAATTAATTTTATTAATGACTATAACTTAATTTATATAGTTTAAAAATATGTACCATTTCCCTAAGTGTATATAACTACTACTGTAAGAAAATATCAGAATTGGGAACATACTTTCTGTAATATCTTTGCTTGAACTGAGCCGATCTAATCCTGTTTATATGAATTGAACCTGCTCCCGATCAGGTTTGACCTAGCAGAACTGTTGCCATGACAACAACTCTCGGATCAGCTTTGAAGAACGAAACGATCCTGGATCGTGTCAAATCGTCAATATCCAAATCCAGCTAACTGAGTAATCCACGTACGAAGAACAGACCCCAGCAATGCACCTTAACACGCCTCTTCGTTTAGTCCAGAACGCCTGTGGGCGCACATATGAACGCAAATGCATTTGCTATTTAAACAACGTGGTGCAAAAGCTGAAACTAGCAAACAACATTTGCGCTGCGCCGGGTGTATGATAGGGCACTTTGTCTCTGTGATGTGCTGCAAAATGACCTCACTAACCTTTGTTAAACAAGACTTAACCAAAAAATCTGGTTTCATTTCTAAATTATACTTTATAACTGTCAATAACATCAAAATCTGCTTTAAGTTCAGTTTTACATGCGCAAATTACAGCTTGAACATAAGATATAATTGATTCACACAGGCTAACTGTCACAGAGACGGTTTTTTTCTCAGGTCCCAAACCTCTTCAAAAAAAAGAAACAAAAAAATGGCGTAAGTCGCAATAGCACTATGGTGCAGTGTCTTTAGTCAGTGCTCAGCAGAAAAAAAATCACCCAAAAAATAACCAACAAAACAAAATTGGCTAACCTTTTCTCTCTACAATTAAAGGTGCAGTAGGTAAGATGACCGCTTAGCATATTATCTTTTGGACGGCGGGGAGGGACTGTGATTCAAAGCCACACCCCCTGAAATCGCGAGCGCGTGCACCGCGTCACAACACCCGACAGACAACCCACTAATTCATGTCATTCACCGTGCAGGAATTACATTTATTATATTTATTACTACGCCACACTTACATGCTATTTCAGAGTGAATATTCAGAGTAGTGGTGAACAGTATAGGAAGGCTGTCAGTGTTCAGAAATGACCCAATGTGAATATAATAGCAAATTCAGCTCAGTAAAGCAGGCTAGGCAGAATAGCACTATTTACTGGTGTTCTGTTGTTAGACTAGATATAAATCTACATTATCGATGCTGTAGAAGAACCTTATGAAACTGAGAATAATCACATCAATCTTTCAGCGGGAGATTTCAGTGGCTGAACAACACGTCTGTGCATATGAGTCATTCATAACACAACACAATCTACATCAGCTCTGCCTGACTAAGTTTTAAAGCAGAATATTACCTGTCTAACAGAAACTCTTCATGGTGTCGTCCTTCCTCCAGCGTGCTAAAGTAACTCCAATATTGATTCAGGATTTTAAGTTTTAATTCAGCATTTGATTTGTCTCGGTCCGTCTCGTGACCGCGCGGCTGCTTATGCAGGCTGACCTGCGTGAACAGATGCGCATTGTCATTTGCACATTTGAAAAACACATCCAATATTAGTTTAGTATAAGCATGCACCTGCTTTCTGTATTGACAGAAATACATGTGAACAGCACATATAGAGGCTGTGTTTCCTTTCCTGATATTACTGACAACATTAAATATTCTACTCTAAAACATACAATCACTTCCAAAAGCCAACACCTATTCTAATATCATATGTTAATCATACACATGAATAAATAATGAGGCGCTTTATTAAGAAATGACATTTATTATTTATTAGTGTGACTGCGCCTCACTTTGCTCCGCGTTGTGTTTAGGCGAAAGGAACCGGGCATTTGGGTGTAAACCGCATTTTATTCTGCCTGAAAATAAACATCAAAATAATGACATCAAGCGGAGTCTGTGGCCTTCTTGAAGACTTCACCAAACTCTCAGCGAGAGATCATTTTCACCACAAAGCTTGCAGACTCATGCTTATGAACACCACTCAAAATACATGCTTCATATGACGTACACAACCTCTCAAACATGTTTAAATAACAGGGAAATGCATTGTAGAATGAAATTACATGTATTATTGTGATAAATAACACCTATATAATAAGCTTTAACCGGAGCTTCAGTACAACTCACCTCTCCTCGATCGCGTTTGCCGCAAACTGAGTGAAAGCAGGCAATACCGGAAAATAACACTTAAAGGGGCCACGCACCATTTCCACAATACATTGAAAACAAACACAACCATGATATCATTAACTCTGAAATACAATATATTTACATAACAACTGAGAAAATATGGAATTAAAGTAAATTATTTGATGATTACAAGAATTTGGAGAGAAATGAATGTATACACATATATATATAATATATATATTAAGGGTGGAGCCGAACCCAAATACGGTATTCGGAAAGGCACGAATAGCGTGTTTTTACGAATACTTATTTCGAACAAATACTTGAAAAATTATTTGTATTCGGGAGCAAGAAAAACACTACATCAAAAAGCTGTGTTTCCTCCTGAGACCACAGTGCATGAGTGAGAGCGAGAGAGAGAGAGAGAGAGAGAGAGAGAGAGAGAGAGAGAGAGGGCGGGGCGGAGGTAAAAGGTCTCTGGCACACGCTTCTCCACCGCAGCAGACGGAGAAGGCTCGGCTGAGCGAAAAAAAATGCTTCTCTGCATCACTATTTTGTACCTTAATTGGGTTCCAGATGCAGTTTATAAACTCGTAGCGGAGTTTGTTTGGGATTTTCCATTACGCTGCATTTTTGAAGTTTGCAATCGGGTGCTCTGTTCACGCAACTTTAGCTCTGTTAGTGCGGTAATTTAGACAATAGACTGTTGACAGAGTAACGTTAACGTTCGTTTATAAAGGTTAAAACGATGCTTGTGCAGTTGTGTCGAATAGTATGCACCTATGGGAGTTATATGGTACGTCTAAATAACTGTCTTTTGCAGACAGCAAGATATATGCTATAGGCTAGTTAACCTTAGCATAGCTTCCCGTCACTTTTTATTAACTTGAAACTCCTCAAATACATTTGGGCACCATGAAAAAGAGTGAGACTGCTGCTGAGCCATTTATTAGTCCTCCACCAGTAAAAAAAATAAAACTTCATGTTCTTTGTGGAAGCATTTTACAGTGAGTGGTGCTGCAGATAAAACAAACTGATACTGTAACGTTATAATGTGTGCAAAAGTGAAATCAGCAGAGGCAGAGATATTAAACATCTGTCAGCATCTTCTATGCATAATCATTCATTTTCTTTTCGGCTTAGTCCCTTTATCAATCTGGGGTTGCCACGGTGGAATGAACCACCAATTTATCCAGCATATGTTTTACGCAGTGGCTGCCCTTCCAGCTGCTACCCAGCACTGGGAAACATCCATACACTCTCTTTCACACACATACACTAGGGACAATTTAGCTTACCCAATTCACCTATATTGCATGTGTTTGGACTGTGGGGGAAACCCGAGCACCTGGAGGAAACCCACGCCAACATGGGGAGAACCCAGTCGAGGCTCGAACCAGCAACCTTCTTGCTGTGAGGCGACAGTGCTACTCACTGTGCCACCGCGCAACCTTCTATGTAATGTATTATCACATGCACTAAAAGCATCCTCTCCTGATACTGTCTGTGAACCCCCCACAAGCATCAATCCCCTCAATCAGCACAGCTATGTTCTGCTAAATCCTCCACAAGCACCAAACCATCAACACAGCCACATTCTGCCAGATGACAATAGCAGGGCTGTATCTTTTAGTATTATATAGAATACTTTTGTTCTGCCAGATCCCCCAGGCAGGGTTTATTTAGATTTATTTAGTTAATATTAGTTTTTGGGATTCTGTCCATTGGAACAAAGTTCTTTCAGAAGAAGAACAGTTTTTTAAAAATATTATTTGTTTTTATTCTGTCTATTCAGTGTCCTTCATCAAGAACGGTGGTGGTGGGGGTTCCTAATATTCACAATGGTATTTTATTAGTTGTTGGTTTAACCATGGATGAGATAATGGCTTCTATGTTATTTTCTTTTCAATGACATTTCTTGTCACATGTTCAAAAACAACAGCCAATATTGCATATCTATAATTTATATAATGGGTATAATTAAACAATACTTTCACTATAACGTAAATTAGAAGTGTAATAGAAAAAATATATATTTTTGCGCCATTTTGAATTTTACTAGAATACAAATACAAA